AAGGTTTCAGATTAGGGGTTCCCAGACTTGTAATGTTAAGATGTGTGGACCTCAATTCCCAGAATTGCTGACTGGGGAATTCTGGGAGTTGAAGTCCTAAAGTTGGCAAGTTTGGGAAGTCCTGCTTTAGGACATGCTTTGTGGTCCAGATGCTAAAACTGTAGCCCGCTGATATCCTGGTGGCTCAGTGGCTAAGACGCTGAGCTTGTCAATCAAAAAGGTCAGCAGTTCAGTGGTTTGAATCCCTAGCGCCCTAGAGCTCCCGTGACTTGTCCCAGCTTCTGCCAACCTAGCAGTCCGAAAGCACTTAAAAATGCAAGTAGAAAAATAGGGACCACCTTTGGTGGGAAGGTAGCAGCGTTCCATGCGCCTTCGGCGTTTATTCATGCCGGCCACATGACCACAGAGATGTCTTTGTACACCTCTGTCTCTTTGGCTTTGAAACGGAGATGAGCACCGCCCCCTAGAGTCAGGAACGACTAGCACAAATGTGTGAGGGGAACTTTTACCTTACCTTAATATTTCTGGTATTTTAGTTGAGTAGATCTAAAAAGCTTTTTTTGGAGATCCACCAGGATCAGTTGCTTAAGGTCCCCTCTTCACTTTCTCATCCCACATACATTAAAAACCTTGATCTCTTCCAATAAGCTCTCAGAATCTATTTTATTTCAACGTCTACTGTCTTGTCAGTCAAAGTTGTACTGTCAAAGCATCCTTGTAGGAACAAGGACCATAAATCTACTTATTTCCATCATGTTTTCTACACAAATCGAGTTAGAGTCCATTTAGGCTTGGCTATCATTTACTTGTGCTGATTTATTTGTTTGTTTGTCAAACACATAAAAGATAACAAGTATACGTATGTGTTAGGAAAGCTCCCCGTTGGGAGAGCAAGTACGTTCAGAGAAGCGTTGTGAGAGTGTTGTTGGAGAACACACAAACCAGCATACAGAGACTGCAGTTTAAATAGACTTTTACTTTAGTGGAAATAAGAGGTATCAGAGTCCATCAAACAGTCCAAGTCATACACGGATAAGACAGTCAGTTATCAACGTCTTTCAGTTAAAGGATAATCCAAATAACATAGTCCAGTATCATATAATCAGTCCAGTAATCGAAGTTTGCTAGCAGTTGCAAAACTTTAAATTGCTTACGGCACTTTCTAACAGCCAGATTCCAAAACACTCAGATCAGATCAGCCCAGCATCTAACAAACAGAGAGC